ATTTGAGGTGTGACTGGGTATGGATGATTCTAGTCTCCCTGGGTGAAGGTCTTCTCTCCCAGTCTTCTGTGGGTGGTGATTTGAGGTGTGATTTGGCATGGGTGGTTCTAATCTGCCTGAATAAAGGTCTTCTGCTAAAACCACTGTTGGAAACATGGTGACCTCTAGCAGAACTCAGGAATCATGAGAAGAGGACAGGCCCCAAGGGCCTCCAAGACCCGGTGCCTGGGCCCACTATCCCGGAAGCACTTTTTTTCCCCAGAGTTTTTATTAGTGAATTATAATTTTACATAATAGTAGGTTCTGTTGTTACATATTTATTCAATCACAAAATATAAAAATATAATTTGACCAATATCATCCTCTGGTATTTCCCCTTTCCTTCCCTCCTCCCTCCCTCTGTTCCTTTTGGGCTGTTACAGATGTTGTCCACACTCTTTTTTGAATTGCTCTGGGATGTGGAATGCCTTGGGCTTTGGGATGGCATAATACCAAACCAGTTTTCTCCCTAGCTGATCCCTGTGTCTGGCCCACAGGGTAATAAGAAAACTGAAGCTAACCCCAGCAGGGCACAGAGACTGGCTGGGATCTGCTCCTGTGGCAAGGATATCACCCTCTGAGTCACACAGGGGCTCTAGGGACATGGCACCGGTAATTGTGCGACCTCACAAGGGCAAGAAGTACTTGTGAATAGCCTTTGCTTGGGACATGGAGGAACTGGGTCTTCAGGGAAGCTATTGCCATTTGTGTCTCAGCTTCTCAGAATCCCCAGTCAAGCTCGAGAATGACAGAATACTGGAGCTGGGGTTGCAGCTCAGTGGCAGAGTGTTTGCCTAGCATGCATGAGGCACTGGGTTCGATCGCCAGCACCACATAAAAAAATGAACAAATAAAATAAAAGGTATTGAGTCCACCAACAACTAAAAAAAAAAAAATTTTTTTTTTTTTAAAAAAGAATGACAGAATACCCATCTCTCCAGTACAAGCTGTGAGCACCAGGGACCCCATACAGCTGACAGAGCATCTCTTCTGCCCACAGGAGACAGCAGCTCACTTCATAGTTGGCAACCAAGCAGTCAATCATTCCTTCAAACCAGGGGTTCTATTAGAGTTTTCTCAGAGTTGTCTTGTTTGGTGGATGCCAGGCTAAGGCAGGGGAGGAAGGCAACCCCTTTGCCGCCTCAGTTGGCCAGTTGAGACTCAGAGACACACTGAGCAGAAGCATGAGTTGGGACACTGCCTTCAGCAGCAGAACTGGCACAGACCCTCTTGTTTCAAATCAGGGAATGAACGTATACCCCCAAGTATCAGGCACATGCTAGACTCCCTGTCTCCCAACTTCATGGCACTGGGTCTTCACAACAGAGCTCTAGTTTAGAAGTTACTAATCCCATCTTCATACATGTGGGAAAAGACTCAGAGAGGTAAAATACCTGCTCTCCCACCACCATCAAAGTGTACAATTAGACCAGGCTCAGTGGCTCATGCCTGTAATCTCAGTGGCTCGGGAGGCTGAGGCAGGAGGATCGTGAGTTCAAATCTTGCTCAGCAAAAGCAAGGCGCTAAGCAAATCAATGAGATCCTATCTCTAAATGAAATACAAAATAGGGCTGGGGATGTGGCTCAGTGGTTGAGTGTCCCTGAATTCAATTCTCCTGGTACCAAAAAAAAAAAAAAAAAGGTATACATTTAGTAAGTAAAAAATGAGATGCAAACTCAAAATTTGTAGGATTCATATTTGCTCCACCTTTGGGATGGTGGCTTTCTTTGGCTACATATATGGATTTATGATCATTTTTTAAGGTAAAATCTGAGCCTTCCAGTGTGGACACAGCTAGTTATAAGGAGGGCAGACTAGGGGACATTCTTCACACTTTGCTCCATAAAGTGTCAGAATCTGTCCTGTGAGCTGGTGACATGAGACCCCTCCAGCCCTAACCAGCAGTGAAAGAGCTCATGATACCCAGTTCATGTCCTGGCCATGAAGAGGGTCTGGAGGCTGAGCAACCCCAGGAAGGTTGGGTGGGCATCATTCTGGAAGTGTGGCCAGAATCAGCCCATGCTGCAGGATCATTGCAGGCTGTGGGTAATTCTCCGAGATGGGACTGGTAAGCAGACAGGTAATTGAAACCAAGAACCTAGTGAGGTTCTAAGGGGCATGGGGGAAGGCCATAGTGGGCAACCACTCCACAGCTATCAGACCCTCATCAATGAGCTTCTGTGTGGGGTTCCGGTTCCAGAAGGGAATGGGCAGTAAGGAAGGAACTTGAAGCAGAAGTGACTGCCAGCTCAGAAAGGATGCTTTATGGTCAGAAATAAAAGGACCATGAGTGGGGTCTCCATATATCCTTATTTGCTTGAACAATCCCAATATACAACCTTTTATTCTACTGATTATTAATAGTTTCACTTTTAATTTTCAAAAGAGTCCCAGTGTGGGCAATATTTTATATGGCCACCCATATAAAGCTATGGCCCAACAGACTTTCATGCCAAGCAAGGGATTGTGCCTCAGCCGAGTGTTCTGGATGCCAAGGGAGATCCCTGAGCCAAAGGCCTAAGAGGCAGTCCATGGTTAACTCCCTCCTCCCTCTCTCCCTCATCTCATGCCATTCTTCCCCTCGAAACTTTCCTACCTCAGTGCCTTTGCAGCTGGCATTTTGCCATATTGAAATGTCCCTCGCAATGCTGGTTCTGCCTCATCATTCCTCACCTGTCACCCTCCCAGAGGGAATGTCTATCCTTATCCAGAAGTGTAATCCTTCCTTGTTTATTTTCCTCATATTCTCTTTGATAAATGCATTACTCAACTTTTGCCTTGGCATTGACAGACCCAGAACCTCAGCGACTTGCCACAATATATATTTCTGGCTCACAGTCCATGAAGGCTGCCAGTCATCGTGGCTCTGCATTGCTCTGCTGGGCTCCCTACAGCAACTATCTCATTCTGGGACCCAGGCTGAAGGACCAGGCTCTACCTAGGGTGTGCCGTTCTCAAGGAAGAAAAGAAAAGCTCTGGGAGACAGACAAACCTGGCAAACTCATCTAAAACTCTGTTGGGAAGGGCTTATGTCACACTCAAATTCTCGAATCACAAGACCAAGCCCAAGGACAATGGTGCTGGTAGGAGGGCTAAAAGAATGTATGGCAAGGATGAGGAGGGAACAAATAATACATTCTGTCTCAATAAGCAACACTTACTTTATCTGTTGATTGTCTGACAGCCTCCTTGAAGGCAAAAATATCTTGTTCAGTGTTGTATTCCAAATGCCAATCATGCAGCAAAGTCTTAATCTTTTTTTTTTTTTTTAATAGTATTGGGGATTGAACCCAGGAGTACTTGGTCTGTTTTATTTTTATTTGAAGACAGGGGTTCTTTAAGATGCTAAGGTTGGCCTCCAACTTGTGATCCTCCTACCTCGGGCTCCCAAGTCACAGAATTACAGGCATGCACCACTGTGCCTGGCTCAGAAAATTCTTAGTAAGCATTGGCTTCCTGTTTTTGTTATAGTTACTAGTAGTAGTATTGGGATTGGTGTTATTACGGAGACAAAGCTAACCTGGTAGGAGTAGGGGAAGATTCCGTTTGGAAGATGCTTGGCCACCAGAGCCTGTTAGCAGCAGGCTTTCTTCTGGGGTCCTCAAGCATGTGGAGTTTAGCCAAGGGTGGTGTAGGTACTCAGAGGGGTGAACCCGAAATGCAGACTCAAGACTACAGCTGGAAGGGTCAGTGCAGGGCGGGAGGGTCCCATGCCACTCACCAGAAATGACACTTAACAGAGTTTTTTAGATGAACAAGGGAAGAACACGTGCTAAAAAAAGAAACAGCTTTGGGTTAATCTTGAACGTTTGTAGAGCTGCAGGTGGGCCCATCTGACCAGACTGTGGGGTCCCTTAAGCGGGCAGGCAGGATAAAAATAACAGAGCTTGGCAAGGGCCTTAGGCCATTGAGAGTCCCCTGCCCCTTTGAGGAGTCTAGACATTATCCTGCAAGCAGCAGGGAGTCCTTAAAGAGTCCCAGGCAAGGATGCACCAGAACAGACAATTGTGATCTACAAAATTGGCTCTCCATATTGAGCCACTATGGAGGACGGATTCCAAAGGAGTGAGGTTTAAAGTGGGAGACTGGGGTCTCCACTAAATAGGGCTGTGATGAGGATGTGACAAGTACAAGAGATTACTGAGGAGATAGAACCCACAGGAGTTAGCTCCTGATTGTCTGTGGGAGCGTGGGAGAAGCAGTAGATATATTTCTCTTAGGCAATTGGACGTTGTCATTCATGAAGATAAGGAATGAAAGAAGCTTTGGAAAATAGATAAAGAGTTCAATTTTGGACACACATTCAAGGTGCCGGTGGGATTTCCTGTAGAGCTGTACATCAGGCTGTTGTGCATCAAGTCTAGGGTGTGTCTGGGCCATGGGTGTTTGTTTGGGAGCAAGTGGGAGGTGAGAAGAGGGCCTAAGGAAAGCTCACACTGGGTGATGGCAGGGTTGAATCATCTGTAGATGCCAGGGAACACTCTAGAATCTAGGAGAATCAAGTTTGGGGGAGAAGACCAGAGGTTCAGCTTGGAACATATTTAGTTAAACTTGCTGTGATTAAAACCCAGACCCCTTTCCATGGGCTCAAAGTCCTTTGCCATCCTGTCCGACTCATCTCATGCTTCTTGTTCCATCCACCGCCATGCTTCTGCCACACTGTCCTCCTCTGTCCCCCACAAGTCCCAAGCTCATTCCCCACTTGGTCGTTTGCAATTAGAGTTCTTTCCACCTGGAGTGGTTGTCCTTGGGATGGCTGGCTCTTTGTCATCAGGCCACAGTTCCAAGGCCACTTCCTCAAACAGGCCATCTCTGTTCCCTCTGTTGAAAGTCGCACATGCTCACCCCATTCACTTTTTCCCTTTGCTGGGTCTTGGGTTCTTTGTCATCTGTGAGAAGATAAACAGCACAGGGTCTTGGACGTGCTTCTCCATCCTGTGTCTGCTCACCCCATCTGCAGGGCAGAGGCTGGCAGGCAGCAGACGCCACATCATGCCATTGAAACACCACCTAGTGAAGACGTTTCAGAGACCACCGCACATCCATGTCTGTAGCTCGGGAGAAGGTCTGTATTGAGGTCTACAGTTAGGAAGCGTGTGTGGGGTGGGGGCCCTAATGAGAATGTGGAATGTGGAATGTAAAATGAAAAGATGACCCAGAAAGAGGGCCTTTTATGTTCCAAATGTAAAAGTCAGGGAGAAGACAGAGCTCGAGGTCCAAGATGGAATGGGTGTCATGGAAGACAGAAGGGGGAGGGGGAACTCTGTTGAATGTCCTGCCAATTCATCTCAGGACACCAATTGTCCAAATCCTCAAGAGGTGGGAATCAGACAAAAAAATAAATAAATGCAAAAACTTGGGCAAAATTCATGGCTTTCAGATCCAATTCTATCAAATATGAATTTAATAATTAATGTGCTCAGGACATATTTAGCCAGGACTGTCTATTTGTGCTTGCTGCTCCTTTTGAAATGTGTGTACATTTCTAGAAGGCATCTTCAGTATTCTCAGAGAGCACCAAGCTAAAATTAATCTCATCTATGATAAGGATGAGGCTGCCAAGTGACTAGCTTCACCCCTGATGCATGTCACCTTAAGAACCTCACACAGCCTCCTTGGGACCAGTGAGGCTAAATGATAACTTTCACCAAGACCCAGTCCCAAAGATGGCATCTAGATAGCTGAGATGGAAATGACGGTGAGCAGAAAGAGGCAAAAGAAAGGCAGGTGAGCTGCAAGGCCTCCCTTCCAGCCCAGCTCTAGCCTTAATCAGCAGGGCTTCCTCAGTTTACTGATCCAGAGACACACAGTGAACCAAGAGCCATCTGAGTGGACCACATCTGCTGGGGTGAGTTGCTGGAGAAAAACCACCCAATTGGGCAAACTGGCACTGCTACCAATTCATGGTCACCCATCTCAATCAAGCCTGCGACATTGCCTGGCAATCCATCTGTGTTTTTCAAGTCAGGCTATTCTCCACTTCTCCATGGAAACTACCCCAAGCATTCTCTACCCTCTTCAGACCCATTCCCCACCTGCATATTGCACTTGAGAATGACCTTGCCTTCCAGCTCACAGGCAACCCATGCAACTTCCAAAGACTAAAAACATCAAGTGTGCAGACCCAGACCATCCTCACTCTCCCTCCATCCTTCTCTCCTTTTATAATAGCTGGTCAATCTTTTCTCCTATTGAAAACCAATCCCACCATAGATTATACATCAGGAAGAAAATTTTAATATAATCACATTTATGCTTAAGGTCAGGCATCTCCAGACACCTTTAACATCACATTAAGAAATGCATTTTTACATCACATTCAGTGCACACTTGCACATTATTGCAGCCTATCTTTCACAAACAGCGCTTACCTTTACTACCTGTAATGAACTGACATACTTTTCTGTTCTCTTTTGTTTTTTGTTTGTCTGTTTTGTTTCTTAACACCTTGCTCATGATCTACCACATCAGTTTCATATGGGTCACAGCCCACTGATTCACACATTTTGCTATGGTTCTCCCCGACCTCTCACCTTCTGTGTCAGTCAACTTTCCATCACTATAACAAATAACTTAGATAATCAACTTATAAAGCGAAAAGGTTTATTTTGGCTCAGAGTTTTAGAGGTTCCCAGCTGGGATTGATTGGCTCCCTGTTTTGGACCTGTGGCAAGGAGCACAAGGCGGAGCAAAACCACCTACCTCACAGCCAGGAAGCAAAAGAGACAAGAAAGGCCAGAGTTCCATGATCCCCTTCAAGAGCATCTTTTTAATGACCTTCCACAGGGCCCCACCTCTCAAAGGCTCTACCACTCCCCATAGCCTCATCCAATAGCACCAAGGCTTTAGTATATGGGCCTTTGGGAGACATTTCAGATTCAATTGTAGCACTTTCTTGGAACTCATCCTCCATCTGCCTCTTCAGCCGCTTCCCTTCTTCCCATTCCCTCTCATCAACACTTAAAATTTTCTTGGACCTCTCTCAAGAAAACAAAAGCATCCCTCTCCACTTCAGGCATCTCCTTTGCAGGATCCTGGGTACACTCTCACCTCTGGGCTTCTCTGACAGCACCTCTGCCCTTGCTGTGTGCGTGCCTCACCTCCCAGGCCCCTGTCATCCACCCCATTATAACCGTGCATCAACAGAGCCTCTAAATCTGCTCTCCCAGACGTCATCAGGGAGCATCTTGTTGCTGAAACCCAGTGAATAGTTTTCAGCCCAGAGGAGACATGCACACAGCAGCCTCCCCAAGCAGATGGCCCATCCTCCTCTGAAATCCCTCTCCTTGTCCATGTGACACCACTCTCCTGTTTTCCTGTCTACCTCTTGACTGCTTGGTCTCCACCTTGCCAACTTCCCTCTTTTTCCTCAAAAAGTTCTGTGCCATTTTTGTCTTTGGCCAAATCAGTAGCTCAATCTTTTTACATTTCTTTTTTTCCTAATAATATTGTATATCTTTGTACATCTTCACTGGCCAACTTTACTCCTTTGTTAGTTCCTCTTAAATTTCCTCCACCAATATCTATTTTGAGTTTCTCTTATTTCTGAATTCCAGTTCTTTGTATCTGAAACATAATAAATATTCAACTGTAATAACTTGAAACTATTTTCTCTCCAGTTTGTTCCTCATTGACTGTTGAGCCTTTGATTATGGTGATATTTTAAATCCAAAATTTTCTATTTCAATTTAAAATATTGTTTCTTTTAAGATTTCTAACTTTGATATAATGCTAAGAAATTCCTCCTCCACCTCTGAAATTATACAAATATTCTTTATATTTTCTTCTGATGTATGGAAACAGCTGTGGTCTAGTTTTTTGGTTGTTTTTTTTTAACAAGTGGTTAGCCATTTTTTCTAGTATCTTATATTGATCAAGTAACCTTGTTAATTTGAAAACCCCTTCATCATATATTAAATTCTTACATTCCTATGTCTATTTGTGGACTTTCTTTTTCAGTTCCATTGATCTCTCATTCAAAACCAATTCAATACAGATTTCATTGTTACAGCTTTATAGCAAGTTTTAATGTACTTAGTATCTGCATTGACAAGCTTTTCGTCTGCTGAGTAGAATCACATGTTGTGGTTGAGAGTGTGGGCTCTGGAACCTGCCTGACAGTGTTCATTATTCTGGTCCCATCACATAAGGCTGTGTGACTGTGAGCAAGTTACTTGAGCCCTTGAACTCAACTTCTGCATCTAAAAAATGGACTTAATGATTAATAGTAACCACCTCAGAGATTGTTGTAATGGTTAATGAGTTACGACATGATACTCTTGGATGTTTATTAAGACCCCATTTGTTATTTTTCTCATCTATCTCAAGGACAGTGTAGTTGTTTTGACTTGTTTATTCCAACAAATGGAACTTACAATTGCTGATAGTTCCAGGAAAAAAAAATTGGTATGGATCTTCTCTGGAATTGGGTTAAAATGTGTATCATAACTTGAGGATAATTGTCAACTTATGAACTCTTTTCAACAAGGGACATTGTCTCCATTTTTAAATTTACTTTTCTATCAGTAAAGTTTTGCTATTTTGGTTATATAGGCTGTGTTTTATTGTTTTGTGGCTGAAGTTGATTTTTAGCACTTTGCATATAGGATTTGTGCTACACTGTTGATGTGACCATGTGTGAGTAGGTGGATAGAAACGTGTACACTATCATGGTGAGAATATTTGTTCAGGATTAATTTAAATAGTTTGGCTATTACAAGTTTGTATAAACTTTTAAAGCACTACCTATGAAACCATCTATCTCCTAAGTAGTTTCCATTTGCCTTAGGATTTTCCCTTCATACTAATTTTGGTAATTCAGATTTGCCTGGGAAATTCTTCATTTTGACAAGATTTCAAATTTATTAGTATATTATATATTCACCATTCTTTTATAATTGGATTATTGCCTTAATTTTATTATAACTATTATTATTATTATTATTGTCATTGCTGTTGTTATTATTTATTAACTAAAACAATCAGCAATTTCTCTTTTATTTGTCTCTTCAAAAGCTGGCTATTTTTATCTCTTCTGAATTTATTATTCTCCCTTCTCAATCTTCTTTAGTTATTCTCTTTGTAACTTTTTGAGTATAAATACTCATTTCATTTATATTTCTTTATTATTATTATTATTCAATAATGAGTAAGGCTATGAATTTTCTCCTTACTATAGCTTTGGCCTAGTATCATCACCATTATAAGCAGTCTGTATTGAAAGCTCTTCTTTGAACTCTTTGAACTCAGGAACTTAGGAACTTTGTGAATTTTCAAATGATTGTGGATCTTCTTTATCCTTTTTTGTTGATTTCTAGTCTGTCCTGCAAACAGAAAATGTGACCCAGTAGTTTTTGTTTTGTAGTAGAATTTATGGAGTTTTCCTTGTAACATAAAAGAAGATCTGTTTTTGCCATATTCCATGGGCACCTGTAAAGAAGGTTGTGTTCCTTGTTTAGAAGTTACAGAGTTTCAAATAGACCCACATGTTATGGTTTGGATCTGAAATGTCCCCCCAAAGGTTCTTGTGTTGAAGGCTTGGTCCCCCAACGCAGCAATGTCCAGAGGTGGGGTTGTTGAATAGTGTTTGGATCCTGAGGGCTCTGACCTCATCAATGGATTAATCCATTGACAGGTTCATCGCCTATGGCATTATTGGGAACTGGCAGAAACTTTAGGAAGCAGGAGCTAGTTGGAGGAAGGTCACGGGGGTATGCCCTAGAAAGATTCTTTTTGTTCTCAGCCCCTTCCTCCCTCTCTCTTGCTTCCCAGCCACAATGAGGTGAGCTTGGCCACACCCTTCCACCATGATATACTGCTCATCCCAGGCTCAGAAGCAATGAAGCCAATTGACAATGGGCTGAAATCTCTGAAACCATGAGCCTAAATAAACTTTTCCTCCTTTAAGTTGTTTTTCTTGGGTATTTTATTATAGTGACAGAAAGCTGACTAACACATCATATCCACTCCTAGTATTTTTCAGATCCTCCTTATCTTTATTTACTTTTGACTTCAAATTAGCATATTTTATTATGTCTGTTTCAATGCTTTGGGGCACACAGAATCATAACTGTCATGTCTTCATTTGGGAATGGGCTCATCATGCAGATTTTAACTATCATCTTTGGCTTTTCATTTGGGTTTTTGTAAGGATTGGTGAAGTCTCCCTTCTCTTAGTCCAAGTAATTGACTTAGAAATTTGAAAGCAGTGAAGCAACAGTGACCACACCAAAAGGAAAGTGTACTAAGAGAATTCTCCAACAAGCCCCTTTCATTTATTACTCAAGATCATAGTAAATTTATATTATGCACAGTATTTCCACCTCCACCTGTTCATGAGTTTTCCACCACTATAGTTTTTCAAAAGTCTAAACCTCCTTGAGAAATTTCCAACTTAAAACCTTTGCCCAGCCAAGGTCAAGAGCAATAGCACCACCTGGTAATCACTTCTGAAAGGGAGAATCACCTGATCTCTCCCTTCTAAGTTGGATGATTGATAATGCTGAGATCCAGTTACAACTCTTTGTTGTAGTTACTGTCCTCATTTGGGAACTGAGAATCAGGCCCTTCCTATTCCCTATAGAAACAGACCATGTAAACTGTCTATACAGTTTTCCAGAGTGAGAAAGATGAGGCTATGGTGGGACACTGCATATCCCTTCTCCTGTCCTGGTTGGGGCAGGTCTGGGTTCTCTCTTGAGATGGAAGACAGAGTTTATAAGGCCATAGTCTCCTTCTAATAGTGTCAGTTTTTCAGCCCCATCTCATTCCAGGTGCAAGAGGAAATGTCTTTTGGTAGCTGTCCAAGACTATTGGCTGGAAAAAAGGACCATCTAAGAGCCAGCTATAATATAACATCAGAGGGTCTGAAGTTAATGTTAAAACTACTTTTTGTTGCTGTTGTTCACATTTACTTCCACCGGTAGTTCTTAAATGCTGGATGCAATTTAGGATTGCCTGGGGAGCTTTAATATCCTTGATGACTAGGCCTACTACACCAACCAAATAGGAGCCTTTGGGGCCTGGGCATTGGGAAATTGTGACACTCTTCTGTTGTGAACCAACTTGGCCCATTCCTCTCCTTTCAACTACCTAGACTTACTTTGTCTTGTCTCAAACTAAGGGTTGTATTTTACTAGAAGATTAAGCTATATATATTTATTGTCATAAATCAAATTTTGTCTTTTTTTTAAGCACCTTACTTTCTAGTTCTCCTCTATATTTTTTTCCTTTGAATTCCATTTGTTTTTTTCTAAATTGACTGCTTTGCTTTTTCCCCTTTTGGTAATTGTAAAGATAAGCTATTTCTTATTCCATTACTAATTACACTTAACATCTTTAAAAACACACTCTAACCTATTTTTCTCTAATTAGCCATAGAAACTATAAAACAATTTCTTACAAGATGAGGAAATGAGCAGATCTCCTTGCTCTAACTTTATTCTTTATGTCAGTGTAATCTGGAATATTTTACCCTGGGGTTTGGATGGGAATGATATTTTCTGTGTTCTCTTCCAAGGAATATTTGTTACCTTTGCATTCCATTTTATAGCAATTATTTAGATTCATTACGATGTTGGTTTATTCGCTTGTTACTAATCTTTTTTTATTAACCACAGCTTTCCCATACTTGAGTTCTTCCTTTTGACTCATTTCTCCATTGAACAGAAAATATCTTCAAGTGATCTTTTATGAATGGTGTGTGGAGACCATATTCTTTTTGAGGTCTTTGAGGTCTTTGAGAGCAGCTTCTGTTATCTCTGCTATTCAATGACTTGGTTGGGTCACACCCTTTTCTACTATTATTTAGGGCCACATCTGTACTGTGTCTGAGAGAAATGTATTGATAATCGTGCCACAGTATTTTCTCATTTTCAGGACTAACACAGATGTCCAGTTATTTTTACAGGCTTTGGTCAATTCTGTTGCTTGAGTTTGGGAGTGGGATGAGATTGTGAAGCCCTTATGACCAGGTCTGTCTTTTCACATCTATCAACCATTGGATACTCACTGGTTCATTCAGTGAGTGCTGGCTGAGCACCTAGAGTGTGCCAGGTACTGTGGGAGCCATTAGAAGTTTAGAGCAATTAGACAGACAGGATTTCTGCTTTCACAGAACATCTGGGTATATGCTGGGGAGAAAGAGGGCCAAGCCGTAAACAACTAAACAAGTGAACAAGACAAATTTAGAGATAAGTGGAGCTACCATATATAGCTACTCAAGATCTAAACTGGTGCCCCTGAAAAAAGGCTATAAATAAAATGAGTGATGGGGTAGCGGGTGGGAGCTCAGATGGTATTAATTAAATTCTCTGTGACAAATCCGTTTGTTCATCTGGTTACAGTGTTCCTCGTCATCTTCCCTCTGAAATTGTAGCATCTTTCTTCGTCTTTGGCTTATCTTAGACTGGTTTAATAGGCCACATGACAGGCCCCTTCTGTCTTCAAGGTCATTGCATGTGGGCATCATTTGTATGGTACCCACAACTGAACTACCACAAAGCTGGGGTCAGGGTGGCCGAGCCTCCATTTTCTGGCCTGATCAGGGCTGAAGCAATGCTTGGGATAAACGGAAGGATCTCCTAGGGACTCCACTGTCAGACTGAGGCCCAGTGGGCAGTATCATTCTCATACTGGGTGTGGAGGGGTGGCTGAGCTTGGTCCCTGGAGTCAAACTGTATGGATATGAATATGGTACTACCATCTACTGGCTATGTGACCCTGGCAAGTTACTTACCCTCTCTGTGCCTCAGTGTTTTCATGTTTCATTGTGGTTAATAATAAGAATATTGTGACCGTTAAATTAAGGAATTGACGGAAGTGCTTAGAATAGTGTCCCATATTTAGTAAACCCTCAGTAATACCCAATAATCTCTGCTCTTAACTTTATCATGCATCGCTTTAAAAGCTTTTCTGTGTTCTTTCTCCCCTTGATTCAAATTCTTTCTATACTTAAAAATAGAGGGATTATAAGGATGAGACAGAATGGTCTTAGAGACCAGGCTCACTTTTCTCAGGTTGGTGGGAGAGCTGTCTGTGGCAGATTGGAAAAGAAATTCCTCTTGCACATAAGGAGATGGGTGGGGCAGGGAGAAGCAAGAGGAAATTTGCCACATAAAGTCACTACTTCCCTGTGTGTGTGTGTGTGTGTGTGTTTGTGTGTGTGGTGTTTCCTTGTACAAAAGGAATTTTATTATTTTTTCATCCTAGCTTCATTTATAGTTAGTATAACTTAAGCATCAATATTATTAACACCAAATATAGATATAAACATACAGGGATTTAAGTGATTTGCATATTCCTTTCTCTCTTCTTTGTCATTTTCTGTAATTTTTTTAAAAAAAATGTTTAGAAATGCTGTAGCATTTTTGCAATCACAAAAATTAAAAGGCATTTAATTTTGGGGAAAAAAAATTACCCTGAAACCTATTACCCTAATACCATTTTTATTTGGGGACCATGTCCAAACCTCATCCATACATAAACAAGTGTTTAATAGCTATCATCAAAAGTACACGTATAATTTTATGATCTACTGTTTTACTTAAAATGATGTTTAACACTCTTTCTACAAGGTCATATTTATCACTTTAATGATTGCGTTCCGACCGCATCACATTAAAGGCTATAATTTACCTCACTTTATTGAGCTGACTGACAGATAGCTTGTTCCCATTTTTTTTCTCCATAATACAATTATGTCACTATCATCAGCTTTGTCCGGGTGGCTCTTTTTCTTTTGAATTAATTTCGGGAGATTACTGAGTCAGAGTGTTCAAACAGCTCTGTGGCTCTTAATAAGAATTCCTATGCTCCCTTCCAAAGGGTTCCATCGGCTTTCCTCTGCAACCAGCATTAAATGCATGTGCGAGTTCCCACAAAGCCTCAAAGGTATTGGGTTTTATGTCTCTTTCTTGACTTTTCTCTAGTGACATGGACTGTGTTTTCATGTTCATTCTATTTGCTCTCCTCTGAGTGCTCGGAGCATACTCTTTGCTCATCTTGGGGATGTTCATCTAGAATTATAAAAGCCTTAATTCAATATTGATATTTCCCTGAATCATAGTTGTTGCAATTATTTGTTCGTCTTTTATTTCCTCCTTCTAATTTTGATTTATTATCTGTTGGTCTGTTTATCCATTTAATGCCATTTCCTTGCCTTATCCTTGTTTCTGGGTCTGGAATGACCAATTGGCATGAAAATGGTTTTAAATGAGGGCTTTGGAAGAAGATTGGGTTCTCAGGGTGCAGGGAGGAAAAGGTAACAGGAAGTGAGCAGGGCATTAAGATAAGACCCTGTGGCCTCTCACCCAGTTCCTTCAAAAGCTTTGGTCTCTAAGAGATGGTGCTCACCTGGCACCTCATTAGCATAGCATTTGTTGTGGCTTGAGGCTGTCAGAATCCCCAGGGCTACATATCATTTTCCCATCAAAAACATTTAAAAGAGAGAAATGGACTTGGATTCTCTTGGCTGGGAGATTTCCACCACTATGTCTCTCCATGATCAATGTCCTTTCCTACTGCTGCAAACCAAGCCAACAATACCCTCAACACCAGGGACCAAAAGCATGCAGATTGCCTGGAGTGGCCACTGAAATGGGGAGAGGGGCCAAGAGACTACCAACTCCGCCATGTCTGCCCTTTGCCAAAGGGAACCTTCTAGTCTACACTTGGCATTGAACTCAGCAGGCCTTCCGCCTAGAGCTCAGAGCCCAGCCAGTCCAGCCCAACCCTGGAGTAGATTAAGAAAATGCTCCCTCTGCCAGGCCTCAGTGGCCCGGGAAGAATGGTGGGGACACTTATTGACCTCTCCTGCTCTTCTCTTGCAGTTTCCTGCTTCTTCAACTTCACCAGTCCCTCCGGAGTCGTCCTGTCTCCCAACTACCCAGAGGACTATGGCAACCACCTACACTGCGTCTGGCTCATCCTGGCCAGGCCCGAGAGCCGCATCCACCTGGCCTTCAATGACATTGATGTGGAGCCTCAGTTTGATTTTCTGGTCATCAAGGATGGGGCCACTGCCGAGGCCCCGGTCCTGGGCACCTTCTCAGGAAACCAGCTCCCCTCCTCCATCACGAGCAGTGGCCACGTGGCCCGTCTTGAGTTCCAGACTGACCACTCCACAGGGAAGAGGGGCTTCAACATCACCTTTACCAGTGAGTCCTCCTTCTGTCGCTATCTGAGCATCTCTGAGTGTCACTTCTGAGGATGAGGGGCGGTGCTCCAGGGAGAAGTGCTGATGTGGGTGCATCAATCCCAAGGGCATTGCTGGCTCACAGGCCCTGGCTTGGGAGACCCCAGAATGACCAGAAAAAGCATAAATGTCTGCCTGCTGGGCCAGGACCTCTTTTCTGTGGTGTCACTTTCCATTGAGCATTATTTCCCTAGGTGACGTGTGATATAAAGGGAGCTCGGAAACCTCCTTTCTCCTCTCAGTCTCCCCCTTCTACAAGGCCCTTCTAGAACCAGGGAGGCCTCTGGCATTCTGGCATTGACTCCCAATTCCCTCTCTGCTGTGCTTCCCTGAGTTCCTGAACACTACTTCCTGTTGATCCCTGGTGTTCCTGGGGGTTACCCACTCTTTGCTTTGCCCAGTCCCATTCCCATGGTCAAAGTAAAAACAAAGGTTTGGAGCAGCATTTCTGTTTGGCCTGGAGACCACTCTTAGGGCATCTAGTCATAGCCCCTCCTAGAACCACAATCTCAAAGTTGTCACTTCCAGTTTCCACCCTGGGCCCCTTCTCTAGAAGCAACTTGAAGTTCCATAGTGAGTATTTTCATTCCTGTATCTCAAGATAACAGTGGGTAGGGGTGGGATAGAAACCTAGAGACTGAACAAAGCCAAGCTCCAAAGATAGCAGCAAGTTGTTATCAGGTCACAGGAAACAATAAACCTAGGGAACTTGGCCCCTGGCAGATAGTCAGGTGGTACTGAAGCTTCCAGATCCTTTCCCAGAGGCTGCTTTGGAAATGCAAGTCCCCAGCTGAAGCTCTGCTCCACACCCACAAACACTTACCTCGAGCCACATGAAGAAGCCCATCTCTTCCCAACCGCCATCCCCACCCTTGGCAAAGAGATTGTGTCCCCTTGTTCCACTATCCCTGGGGCCCAGTTGAGCTGAAGACTTCAATGGCTACATAGTGGGCCATTTTGGGCCCCAAATTTCAAGGAAGCACCCAGGCTCAGGTCCATTTCCCTCGCCACCCTTCTTCAGGACAGCAGACTTGCTGGGAACAGCCTTCTCAAGGCACGACTCCCCTGTTCCCACCATCCAGGGACAGGAGGAGGTAGAGCCCAGTCCCACCTTTCCTAAGCATCCTCTTCTAGCCTCAGGGTCCTGCTCTTGAGCATCCCTGTCCTCCTCCCTGCTTTTCCCATAAGATCATGAGCTTCGAGAGGAGCAGGTACCTGTTACTTCTCTTCCCAACCCCTCTGCCCAGCACGCACGGGGCATGCAATGAGGCAATGATCAGTCAAGGCCTGTTGAATGGAAGGAGCCGTGGGTTGCTGTGGCTTTTTCTCACCCCAGTGGCAGTAGCAGGAATGAGGGGAAGAGGAAGCCTGGGAAGCTCAGGCCTCCAGGCCGGTGAGGGCTGAGAGCTCCCCAGTGAGGAACCTGGCAACAATGGATACTTTCAGTGTCCAAGGAAAATCCAATCCCACTAAGTCCCTGCTTTCCAGGGAAGGAACATCTCCAGAGTCCTGGGGAAAAGGAGGCCCAGGCAGCCCAGGGAACCAGCTCCATTGGGAGGGCAGACCCGGCTGAGGACCCGCTCTCCCTAGCGTTTCTCTCTACCATCATCAGGATGATACATATGCAACATGGCAACACTCGAAATCGGGGACAGGTCAATGCAAAATAATAAGTACCACCCAGAATCCCCCACCCAATAATGGTCCTTGCCAGCATTTGGTGACTTAGAATTAGAGGTAGCAAGTATTTTTCTATACACTTATATATACAGCTGGATGGAGAAAGACAAATAACATTTTACATAACTAAACCCCATCCTAGTCCTACTGAGTCAGAATCTCTAAGGGGACATGGTCCCAGAATCTACAGAGGTGAAGGATTCAGATGCATCCAATGAAACACTGGCCCATGGATGAGCATTTGGGAGCTAGCACAGTCTCCCCCAGAGGACATTCATCTCTTCCCCCGTCTCAACTGTTGATCATCAGGGCTGAGCCTGACTCGGCCCCAGACAGTTCTCTCCACAGCTAGAGAGGTGCCATGCTTTCCCACTTGGGACTTAAAATCTGTGCCCCTGTAGCAGGGCTGGGAGATCCCCTTTCAGCAGTTCCTGGCAGTAAACCTGATCCTTCTTCCACATGGGGCATAACTGATAATGACAATACTAGCTGCTGTTTATTCAGCACTTACTGTGTGTCAGACCCTGTGCTGAGCAGTCTACAATCTACCGGTAGCTTCACAACCAAGCCCCATAAGCCAAGATCCTTCTCACATATTACGAAACTGAGCTTTGAAAAAGTGCACAGGTAGAAATGGTTGGGGCTTAAATCCTTGACTTAGAGATTGTGCTGCTAGATTTTGTGAACAGCCCCATATTCCTTCTGTATGCATGTGTGTGTACATCTGTGTGTGTGCACAGGTATGTGAACATGTACATACGTGTGGGCAACTGCTAAGAGGTTTTAATAGAAAATGCCTGGACTCCTGAATCCCAAGTACCACTTTTCTTCCCTCCCCATATCTCTAATTGTCAGGGCACCCCACAATCATAGTTGCTAGTGATGAAAGGTTGGGAAACTGATTCTGGGCTGACCCAGACTTTTCAATTCAGAAGGAAGGGTGTGGGAGACTCAGACGAGGCCCTGTAGAGCCATCCCAATCATCTTCCTGTCACAGGCTCCCGCAGCTCATCTGAGGTGGGAAGGGTGACAGGTTTGTAGGGCTGTTGCCTCCAGCCAGATTCCACCGCCTCCAGGGTCACTTGTGGTTCTGAGTGCAAGTGTGTCCCCATCACCAGGGAATGTCAATGTGCTGTGCATTGGGTTCTTTGAAGTGGCACCTGCCCATGCACTCATTGGAGCCTGGTCTCCACGGGGAGGTCACCATCCTTAAAACAGTGAAGACACCCATAGGGCCTAACCTCAAAGATATTTCAGGATAGAGCTGTGTGGCACTCCTGGGGGAGGAGGACTGGAAGTGGGCTTGGTGGAGATGAGATAGCAAAGGGCATCCTTCCATGCAGGGGAGCAGGAGAGGAAGGGAATCATCCTTAACGAGCACCTACTGTCTACCAGGCACCACACCAAACCCTCACCTCTGTCATATTCCAATCAACTTGCGTTTTATTCCTGTATCCGCATGACCCTGCAATTGAATAGGATCTCCAAATTACAGATCAGCAAACTGAGGCTCGGCACCATGACACACGTCACCCAGGACAGTGGAACTAATTAGAGGCAGAGCTCTATTGAATCTGCAGTGCTGCCGTCTCTTTGCTCTTCCCCAAACTGCATTAGCAGTCACCTGGGCAGAGGGAGCAGCAGCCCGACAAGAAGCAAGGAAATGAGGGGGACAGCTTCAGACAGGGTTAAGTCCAGGGCACCTGGCTTTATGATGTTAGTGTCTATGAGCATCACAGGATTGAGAGCCGGCTCCCCTGCAGCACGAGTGATCCCATGACCATGTGAAGTTAAGGAAGCAGGGAATGGATTTGACATTGAGGAAACAGATTTGCTCCTTGACTACATGGAGCCTCAGTTTCCTGGTCTATAAACTAGGGTAACGATGTCTGATGGAGGGAATTGTGATAAGTTATAAATGAGCACGTGCCTGATCTGTAGGTGCCCATTCGAATGAAGTTGGATTGGGTGCTCAAGCACCTGCTTCACACCCAGTAGGGCCTATCAGCCATAACCTGGGGATCCCAGGTTATAGGGGTTCTAGCTCTCCTTCCATCATGGCAGGTTCTTGGGGAAGTGGTAGAGGTCTGGTTGATGAAGCTTGTTGGCTATGGTCCACACACCAGCTCTGTCTAATCTTGTCCTTGACCCCCATCCATGCAGCCTTCCGACACAATGAGTGCCCAGATCCTGGTGTTCCGGTAAATGGCAAACGGTTTGGGGACAGCCTTCAGCTGGGCAGCTCCATCTCCTTTCTTTGTGACGAAGGCTTCCTCGGGACCCAGGGCTCGGAGACCATCACCTGCATCCTGAAGGAGGGCAGCGTGGTGTGGAACAGTGCCGTCCTGCGCTGCGAAGGTACGTGCCCACAGGCGGGGGCCGTGGCTGTCAGCCAGACAGGTTCCACAGGGGGACTGAGTGACCTGAACCACAGAGGTCCATTTCTGCATCCATCCATCTATCCATCCATCCTTTCCTCCCATGACCCAGGGCCACTCCCTGCCCTATCCCTGGAGTGGCAAGGGTTTTAGAGGAAGGGTCTGCATAGGAACCTGAATTGGGACCAGAGATTACACAGGAGAAAATGCTGGGTCTGGACGGTCAGGATCAGAAATGCCTCTGGTTTCAGCTGGGAACTCTCCATTTCACAGCCAGTAGCAGCCCTGCCCCAGCGCCTGCCCAGGGGAGCCCAGCATCGTTGGCAGCGTTGAGCGTCCCAGTCTTCCCGGCTGCTTCTCTCTCCTTCTCCATGTGCTCGTATTCCCCAGCTCCCTGGGCTCTCTCCCGTTCTGGCCTTTGTGCCCCTGTTAAATGCTGCCTTGATATCTTTGTGGCCACTCTCCCGGCAACTCAGGGTAGACCAGCCAGAAGAAATACGGCTCGCAGCAAGCTCTGGGCCTGTTATGGCATCTCCTCACCCTATCTCAGCCTACAGGGCAGCTTTTGAGTCGATTTCGGGGACCAGCCATCTGTTTAACCAAATTGCAGGCACAGATGAAGGGCAGGGACCATGTCAAATGTGTGTACCAAGCACGGTGCCTGGCACAGAATCGGTGCTCAATAAATGTTTGGGAACATGGATGAGGAGTGCACACACCCCAAAGTTCCCTTAATGGCAGAAGTGTCATCTAAGGAGGCAGGGGCTGTGATTCTATCTTTTGGGGACAGAAAGCTTTTCATTTCCTCTTCTGTGGTGGGCAGAAGATGGTGACCTCAGTCCTGACTCCCCATCTGAATGGCCCCACCACAAATGGGAGAGCTGCAGGGAGCAGAGAGGGCTTTGCCCCCAGGCTGATAGGGGTGTGGGGGAGGATAGAGACCACCCAGCACACTACACATGGCAGGGGGTCCAGGTGGGCTTCCCAATCAGAGGATCCTGAGCTGGATCCAGCAAGTTGCTTTTCCTTTTGGACCTCTGCTCTTTTGGCTGGAAAAAAAAATAAAAATAAATAACCAGACAGGATGATAATAAGCAGTGTATGTAAAGGGCCAGCCCAGGTATAAAGTTAAGTACTCATAACAGTGAGCTATGCTTCTACTGGTACGTGAGTGCACAAGGTTAGAGAATCTTCCTTGGCCTCTTATCCCCACACCTGGCCTAGTGCTTGACACTTGTAGAGGGTCAGCCAATACTGACTGATGAATCACGGAATGAATGAATGAATGGAATGATCTCTTACCTAGAGTCTCACTAATCAGAAGCACATCAATGAAACGCCTTCAGAGCCATCCTTCCTGCTGCCTCTGCCTTGCAACCTACCTGGCTGGGCACCCTGGGCAAGCCACTTGACCTCTCTGAGCCTCAGTTACCCCATCAAGTGCAGGTTACTCGTGGAACCTCGGTGGGTTGTTCTGAGCACGCACAGCTCCTGGAGCAGCACCTGGTGGAGAGGTGGTACTCAATAAGTGTGGCTGCCAGCCTTCTTTTAACCAGATTTTAACCCCGTCTTCACCAGACCCATCAGTACTTGCTCCACTTGGGGGGAAATGCTGTCTGCTTGGGGGCAGTCGGCACCTGAAATAAAGGGCCGCCTGTTGGAGACACTGAACCGACACAGGGAGAGCATGCTCAGTTTCCTCCAAGTGACGAGCCTTGCGTGCCAGCCTGGGGTGGGGGATCTGGGGGGCAGCACTTCAGAGAAGCACAGCGAGGGGCAGACGTCGCCTGGAGCAGCTGCTCCCAGCACAGAAACCTAGGATGGGGTGGGACGGTGCAGCCCTGGGGACCTGCCCTCCTAGGCTGCTTGGCTGCCTTTTGCCCGAGCCTTGGGGGGGTCCCTGCTTTGTGGTCAGTGTCTTTGTCCTGTCCACTCTTTGTAGTTTTGTTTTTGATTAAGTATCTCCACCTTGTGGACAATTAAACGCAGGAGCTAATGTCTTGTAGAAAATCTTTTAATATATGCTAAGAGCCACTTAGGTTTTGAGAGGCTGTGATAGGACATGGGAGAAAATGTCTCCTCCTAAATTTAGAAAGAAGGAGGGTCATCGGAGGATCTTGGGTGCATGGGAAGCAGGGGTGGGCAAAGTTTTTCTTCAACGGCCAGAAATGAAGTACTTTTGACCTTGTGTGTTGTAGGGTGTCTACTCAATTCCGCCACTGCCGTGTGAAAATGGTCTTAGACTGCATGTCCATGTCTGGGCTGGTTTGGCCTGTGGACAGCACCTTGATGACTGTAGATCTAGGGTACAGAAGACATGGGGTCGGGGGTTTCCATATGTTTAATCAACAGCGTCCTAAGAAAGACTTCCAGGGAGTAAGTGAAGCCACCTAAGAACGCCCTGCCATCTCCCACGTTCTTCTTCTTCTTTTTATTTTTAAAGGAGAACCCACCTCAGTGTTTTAAAAACATCCCCTTCATTTCAACCTTTCCAGGGAATAGGTGCAGTTACTGCCCCACTGGGACCTGGGAAGTTCGGCCACCTGCCCAGGGTGCTCTCAGCCTGTAAGTGGCAGAGGCCCCTGGCTAGCTGGTCCTTTCCTTTTTCTTGAATTTTATGACTTGAGAGAGTATAGTGTAAAACCTGTTTACGAAAGACTTAAAAGCATCCACAAATGGAATGAAAAGTGGGTTTTCTACTTTCCACATCCCAGTAGAAAATTAAGACAAAAGGAAACACTCTGCCTCTCACGAAAGACAAAGCAGGCAGGACACCCCATAGAAGCATCAGAAATTGACGGCGTAAAGCAAAATGCCAGCAGTGAGAGGGACGTATCAGCTATTTAATTAAGGAGGTAATTAGATTCCTTATTAAAAGACAAAGACTCTCAAACTGAGTTTAGGAAAATATCCTGCTTACAAGAAATACACAAGGAAAAGGGAGATAAATAATGGACAGTGAGTGCATTTTCACGTCTCACGTTTTAAGGGAATACATGGGGTTGTAAAATTTTCACACAACGCACAGGCCAATCATGTTCCAAGTGAAAATCCTCATGCCCCAGCCCCAGCCCCTAGCGCACAATGGTTTAAGAATTCGGTATAAAGATATCCACATATTTTCTCCCGTATCACATCAAATGCTTTACTATAATAAAACACGTCCGTTTTTCTCCACTCCCACGAGAAATCTAAGCCATGGGTTTAGCTCATATAGGCATCCAAGGAAGGATCGTGAAGGGATTGTTGTGTTTCTACCATTATCTCATTAATCTTGTTACTCTTTTGAGAAAGTTATTGTTATACTTTATACATGAGAAGTCTAACAACCAGTGAGGTGAACTGAGTTGCCCCAAATCACCTGGTTTGTATTAACTGAGCCCTTACTATGTGCTGTATAACATACGTTGTCTTATTGAGTCTTCATGACAACCTTTAAAGTCGGTCCTATTATCCTCACTTCACAGAGGAGGAAACTGAAAGCAAAGAGTGGTTAAGTCCCTCACCCAAGATACACAGCTATGTAAATGGGAGGAGAGTCAGCGTTCAAATTCAGGTACCCTGATTCCAGAACATTTTTCACAGCCATGTAAGTCCAAAGTTGGTTCTACTTTCATTCTACCACAAAAGGGTAAAGGCTGGGTGGTGAGAGGCTCAGGTGGGGAGTAGAGAGGGAGTAGGAGGCCACACTTCTAGCTTCAGGATAAAGAACTTCTGTCATTCTGGTCAGAGGTCACTCACACTGGACAAGTAGTCAGCCAAACCCCTCTAAAGGCAGCCAACATCTCACCACAGAAACAGTGGGCAGAGGTGGCATTCCCAGGCCTGCCTGTCTGTCTAGAAACCAAGGCCCTAGAGCCAGGCCTCCCAGGTTCAAGTCCTGACTCCGACACTTCCCAGCTGTGGGCTTCTCAGCCAGCTACCACTGTGTGTCCTTTGAACTGAAGCAAATACTGTGCCCATCCATAGGCTGTGACGCAAAAGCCAGGAGAAGCCCAGACCCATGTCCAGAGCAGCGTCTGGCACTGTGAGACAGGGAGGGCTTGTTCTTGGTGCATGCTCTTCTGCCACCATTCCAAATTCCTCTTTCCCTTGCACAACTTTAGCATCAGAAGTCGGGAGAAGGTGACCATCCCTCACATGTGTCACAGTAGACACATCCTTTTATCACATTTTCAGGAGGTGGAGGGCCAAGTCTAGGCGCGGGTAGTGCTGACTTCTCCTGAGGCCTCTCTCGGTGGCTTGCAGGTGGCCACCTTTTCTCTAGGTCCTCCCATGGCCTTTTTCCTGTGTGTGTGCCCACCTCGGGTCTCTTTCTCTTCTAATAAGGGCCCCAGCCCTGCTGGATGGGGGGCTCTGCCCTTTTTACCTCATTGAACCTTATTTACCTCCCTGAATGTTCCCCGTCTCCAAATTCAGTCACCTTCAGGGTACAAGCTTCAATCTGTGACTTTCAGGAAGAACAGCTCAGCCCACAACACCTAGTACCTCTACCTTGCAATCATATTTCTATCCTTCAGCAAATATCTGTTGAGCATCTACTGTGTGCCCGGCACAGGGTCAGGCACAGGCCCTCCCTTCTGTCCTGTGCTGGGCTCTCCTCCCTATTCATGCAGGACCCTCCCTACTTTCTTTTCCATGTATGTGTGTGTGACCACACTTGCCTTTTTATGTCTTACCATTTTTTTTAATGGAAAACTTTATACTTATACCAAAACAAAGTACCCCGTGTGTCTGTCCATTCCTCACTCTGCTCCAACTGTAAACCCAGGGCCCCACCCACTGCCCCTTGACCCCTCACTCACTCTGGACTAAATGTTTGGCATAATATTGCATCCTCAACATTTTAGTATGCATGTCTGACAAATAAACTCTTTAAAACATACCACCATGCTATTATCCTAAAAATTAAAAATGATTACTTAGCGCAATCCATGATTGGCTAATACATTTGTGATATGTTTTTGAAAATTGGAATCC